CCGTACATTCATAATCTTCGAAGCTCTATATTCACAATTTTAAAGCTCCATGGTCATAATTTTATCATTATATATGTTCATAATTGTAAGTTCATAATGTTAGGGCTCTGTGTTCATAATTTCATAATTGCATAACTGTACATTCATAACGGCATAACTGTACATTCATAATCCAAAAAAAAATAATAATAACGCCGTTAACGGCAAAACGCGCGCGATTTTTTTTTTTTTTTTTTTTTACTAAATGACGCGTTTACTTTGAAAAACGACGTCGTTTTGGACCCATGTCCACAATTCATTGTGAACACGGGTCCAGGGCATAATTTGCCTATAAATAAGGCCTTTGGCCTCATAGTTGGGGGTCCTTCCCTCACTCTCTGATTGATTACTCTCTCTCTCTCTATATGCACCCTCTTCTCCCCCTTCTCTCTACAAACACATACAAGTAGAACAACATGAATAAAAGAGGCCAGGCTCATTTGCTATATCTCTTCTTCCTCATTGTTTATACATATTACATATGGTACATACATTCTACATAGCGGGAATTAGTACTATCACTAAATTAGGAATAAAATATTTGTTACTTATAAAAGAAAACATAATATTTTGAGTTAATGAACGATTTGATCCCTCAATTATTAGCGAACTGTCAATGTAATCCCTCAATCGCTTGTTCATCGATTTGGTCCCGAAAACAATTATTTTTAGTCGATTTAGTCCCTCCGGCCATCGACTGAAGACGGCCTGAGGGACTAAATCGACTAAAAATAATTATTTTCAGTGACCAAATCGATGAATAAGCAATTGAGGGGCTACATTGACAGTTCGCTAATAATTGAGGGACCAAATTGTATATTAACTCTAATATTTTTTAGGACAAATGTAATATATTTATATTTTGATGTAAAATTATTAGTACTTTTTTTTTTATCAAAAATATTATATTTTCTTTTACAAGTAATGTTGCACTTATACATGAAAATATAATACTTTTGATGAAAAATGTAATAAACATTTTATTCTTGATTTAGTATTACATTTGCTAGTATAAGTATTAAATTTCATCTTGACCCGATCTATCTCACAGATAAGGATTCGTGAGACGGTCTCACCGAAGTTTTACCTAATATTATATATTTTAAAGATACTATGTTCAATTTTGTAAAAGGATCGAATTTGAACTCATACAATTTATGGAATAATAAGAGTTCAAATTTGAAATATCAAGTGGAAATTTTACAATATTAATATTAATATAAATTTTAAGGTTATATTTGACAGAGTTTATTTTATAACTATAACTTATTTTAAAGCTTATATATGGTATTATTTTAAACATCAAATAAATAAACTATCTTTGATAAATAAAAGCTAGCTTAAATTCAAATATTATAATACATAATTTTCAAGAAATCAAATAGGATATTTTTTTTAAACTCATGATTTTTTATAAGGTAGTATAACATTTTCCGCTCAAAAACTGTAAGCATCATCACTGTTATACAAAGTTAATTCAACGTTATACTTTCCTACACTTCTATTTCATCACAATGCAATCTATTATATTTTATGTTTCTTTATTTTTTTTCTTTCTTTCTTTTTTGTCTTTTATTTAATTATGGCACTAGTTGTAACATTTTTTTTTTGAATGCTATTAACTCTATTACAATGTAGTAACATATTTCACCAAACACTTTTAACTTTTAATAACTTTTAAAATTTTTAATTTTTAGCTAACTTTCAATTAGATTTATCGATCAAACGGAGTCCTCCGTTGGTTGGGGAATTATTAGGAATTTATGGGAATTTGCCATAGTTTATATTTTTTTGCTAATATTAGGTCAACTATAATTTTAGATTATTATGAAAATAATCAATTATTGGTACCACGGGGAGTACTATTCAAAGCCTACAACTACGTCCTATTTGAATATACATTTTGAATGAAACCTAAGTTAAGATTAATAGATTATTAATTTATCATACCAACTTAGTTGGGAATATTCCTATCACGTAAAATCGAATGTGATTATAGTTAAATGTACAATTACCAAGTCCAAAAAATAATAATCCCAAGTAAAACAAAACAACTAATAGTGTCTTCATCATTTGCGGTTTCATTTTTGTCCCTTCTCTTTTCTAATCAAAATGATGATTATGATGAATATATTGCTTAAAAGTATAATAATGCAATAAACTTCAAACATGAACAACAATGAAAGACCTAGAACAAAACAAAATAAAAGAATTGAATGTTGTGTTCCATCTCAACTAAAAGACTAAAGTGTTAGTTACACTATACATTTTGTTTAATTATATATTTTATGGTCAATGTATTTTCTCACGTGTAACCCGATTACTGTGGAATGTTGTCTCCTTTTAACATGTGACCTGATGTATGATTGGCTTTGATACTAAATTGCACGGTGGGTTCTATCCCAACTAAAAGACTAAATTGATTATTGGATTAAGAATTTTGTTTATATATTTTATATGCTAAAGACAAATAAACCAAAAACGAAACAAAACAAAAATCTTTTTAAAAGAGTAGTCTAACAACGGAAAATTGCAGAGCAAAAAAGTAAAAACAATATGAATGAAGCATTGACCAAAAAATGCAATTAAATAAATATATACAATTAGGGTGTATTTGGTTCATTGGTTTATACACCAGGAATAGAAATTCAAATTGTTTGGTTGACAACTTTTTAAAACACAACTATGTGATTTGATTACCCATTCAATTAAAAGCATTATTCCCCAATTCAAAACGGGTATCCTTCCATCTTATCCCTCCCCATTTGTCACTTCCTGATTTGTCGCCTCTTCACTACATCTATCATATTTTTGTTTTGATTTTTTGTTTATATTGGTACTTTGGATGTCATTATATTAGAATCTTGCTTTGATTTTTTGTTTTTATTTTTTTAAAATATTTATTCCGATTATAGGGTCAAACATCAATATTGGTATCCATCATTAATGGATACCCATCATGACTACCTGATCAGCACCACCTAGCAAGCAATTGAGTATGGCACTCGAGTTCCACAGTCAACAACTCAAGACGTGATGAATCTTAGCTCCATAAATTATCCTTCCATAACCTTCCCATCTCATTAATTATATTATGACATTAAATCCCATTAACCACCAATTAATTACCCATAAATCCCATTTAATTACCATAAATAGTACCCCATTATTGTATTTGAACCAAATTACCTACAAAATATAGTGAAATTTAACTTCGCACCGTCTAAAAAGACACGTGGTATTCACGGTTCGGTTTATACGTCAAAATTGTGTTGTGTCTTCTCCTTCTTTCTTCTCAAATTACTTATATTTTGTCAATTTAATCGATTATGTTGGTCCGCCGAGTGATTACGGAATCACGAAACCAACATTAATCATTATATTCCAATTCCACCCTACTACCAAACATACAAAATATTTTCACCAAAACCTATTACCATTACCAAGCATTTGATTTCCATATTCACATATACAAACCAAACACAATCTTAATATTTATTTATCAACTCTCGTGATAATAGAAATTTAAATACTCCGATAAATAATATGCTTCGTGTAAATCAAGATGACCATATAATGTTCTTAAAAAAAAAAAAAAGAAAAAAAAAAGATTTGAGAGAATCAAGGCAGTAAAACTGCATATATGCTCATATATAGTCAACTGAGACTCAAACAGCTCATTCAAGCAACCCAAGAACTCTATATATATATATATACCTCAAATTACCAAATATACACAAAGCAAATCCAGCAAAACAAGCCTATAAAACATCTAATGCATGCATCCCACAAACCAGTTAACTCTATCTGATCTCTTAGAGTTGGCTCCATCAACCCATGGATGGTCCAGAAATCACAGTTCCTATAAGAAAAAGTTGCTTATCACGCGGAAAACCTATAACCACTACTTAAAGGTGTGCCTTAAGGAAGTTCAGCTTTGTAATCCTAGATGGCAAAAGATAACGGGAAGGTAAACCAATCTGGCGGCCTAGGTTAGATTGCTCATAGCTGACCAGCTCAAACTAAGAAGTCTAATAAGTCGTTCCCGTTGAGAGTCGAGAACTTGTAACTTTCTAGTTACCAAGTCAACAACAGGATAATAGGGTTGCCCAAAAAAAAAAAAAAAAAAAAAAAAAAAAAAAAAAAAGATTGCTATCTTGACCAGTGCATGACAATGCCTATACTTGATAGGAATTTGGACAATAACATAAATAATTCATTGTAGACTCTCCATCATCATTACCCAAACGACAAGAACTCCTCACGTTTACTTTTCTCCTCCTTAAACAATCACCTACAATTCATGCCTCCCCTTTCATAGGGAAATTTCATGTTTCATTAATCATAAATTTCATTTTCCACAAAAGATTCCATGGCCTGCTTGTGATATATGGTTCAAATGAGGCATTTTCATGAAGTTTATGTTTAGTCATTTCTATGCCCGCAGGCATTACAGACTTTAAGAGTAAGTATATATATGCATTTTGTTGTACCAAATTTTTATTTTTTGAATGCTACTGACTCTATTACATTGTAGTATCTGTTCAAACATACTTTCTCAACCTAATAAAGCATAAAGAATCAACAACGCTCAATCTCATAACATCCCACATAGGAGAGATCACTACTACATGTCATCTGAGCACAAGGTGCTTGGCTTGTTTGTATAGTACCAAATTAAGTGTACAAAAATACAAGTTGATAGCCTTTTAAAGTCAATCTATAAATAATAATGAACCAGGCCACTTGCACTTTCTTAGTTGTCCTTCTCAATAATTTTAGTAATAACTTAAAATTATAATTTTGCATATTATTTTAATCTATATATAAATCAAGAAAATGAACATTTATAGCCACAATCTATAGTACATTATCAGTATGTAACTATTCTAAAAATAGATAAGTGCTTATTTTGTCCCATCATCACACACTTGCAATATAATTATAATTGACCTTCAATATCAAATAAAGTGCATATTTTACAATAGTCTGCCAAAGTCAAAAAGTAGTGCTTCTGGCCTTGACAATTGACATAAAAGAAGAAAAAGCGCAAGTCATTAATCCTTAAAAATAGTCATAAAAAACAAAAATAAAAGAAATAGATATTGCATGAATTGAGCTTGCTTTCAGCAAGCTCAATTCAATTCTGGCTGCTCTAAACTAGCCAATAGAAATGTAATAATAGTTGAAGGGTAAAGAGAAGCTAAGATAAAACTTTAAAGGCTAATGCATGGAGCATATCAATTTTTTTTGGGTGCTCCAAGTACCTCCCAGCTTTAAACGATACCGATTTTGAGACCTTTTATAAAGAATCCCGCACTTATGCCACTAGACTATAAGGTGTCTGAATACTTTTCGAGATTTTTTATAAAGAATCTCGTCCTTATGCCACTAAACTATAAGGTGTCAGAAATGCCATGCAGGGAGGGAGAGGGGGGTAGAGCTGATTAACCTCAATTAATCTTTCCTCTTCTTCCTATTATCCTCTTTATCACAATCCAAAAGCTCTTCTAGAAGCTTATCATCCAAATACTCGAACTCTAGAACCTCTCTCTCTTGCCGTGAAGATGAAGAAGAAGACGACGCCGAGGCGGATGCCGATGCCGAGTAAAAATGTGAAGAAGTTCTGGGCAAATTATACTCCTCCGGGAAGTTCAAGATGGCGAGGTGACCTCTCATGGCGTAAGCCGCCCTGTCATAAGCCCTGGCCGCCTCCTCCGCCGTGTTAAACGTCCCCAGCCAAACCCGGGCGCCCTGGCGGGCAGAATCTCGAATCTCCGCCGCGAACTTCCCCCACGGCCGCTTCCGGACGCCGCGGTACTTAATCTCCCCGCCGCTTTCTCTCTCATTATTGTCCCTCATATTCTCTGTGCCGCCTTGGTTCATGGTATATAACGAAGGTGGCTAAGTAATATGAGAGGAGATATAAAGAGTGGGAAAAATTCAAAAAAGCACCTGGTTTCACGAAAAGAATGGCTGGCAAATTTCCACGTGGATAATCCGTAGTATTTCCACGTGGACTGGAAGCTTCTTTTAGGCCCAAAAGGTGTAGTTCAGTGTATCTGGATGGTCAACCTGGTGGCTATGAAAATTTAAAACCCAACTCCTCCTTCATTTTAATTCTTGCCAATTTTTTTCCCTTTTTCTTTTTGTTAGTATTTGGACCAAAGGGAGAACTATTGAAGTGGACGTAAGCACATGTGAAATTAGAATATTACTTTAATTAAGGAGAGGTAAAGTCAAATTAAAAATGCAAATGTATTATATTACAAGTTAAAATTTAATTTTTTTTTATACTCCTACTTCAATATCTTTTATTAAAAAAATTTAATAGAGAAAGCACATGTATAAATGTATAATCCTCACATAATTCTTAAGGTAAATAGATTTCTTCGTTTGGTTAGAAGGAATGAAATTTCTTCATTTTCATGATATTAGAATCCCCTTAGTATTTCAATTTCATGAATTTTAAGGAAAAAAAAAAATTTGAAACAAAATTATCTATCTTTTTTTTTTTAAAAAAAAAAAATCTAAAATTGATGTTTGACATCTCTCTTTCGATTATAGTGTGTTTTTCTTCTATTCTCAACACAGAACGTCAATCAATAGGTCAACCTCAATCAAATATGTTTTCTCAAAACTCATTTATCTATTTTATTGCTTTCATTATGCAATTTTAGAGTTTATTTACAGTATGTTACATAAATATGATTTTATTATTATTATTATTATTATTATTATTGTTGTTGTTGTTGTTGTTGTTGTTGTTGTTGTTGTCGTCGTCGTCGTCGTCGTCGTCGTCGTTGTCGTCGTCGTCGTCGTCGTCGTCGTCGTCGTCGTCGTCGTCGTCGTCGTCGTTGTAGTTGTTGTTATAATAAGTATGGGCATTTTAGACTTTATACTACTTATTCCCTTTCAATTCACATGTATACCGAATTGAAATACCCCGTAATTATATTCCTTCAAACCAAACACTAAAATTTAAATTACCACTTTATTCCCGCATTATTCATCTCCCATGAAATTTCAATTCATTTTTCACGTAATTCACTCCATCCAACCAAACGCCCCATTAAAGTTCGTTCCGAAACTAGGAATTTGTATTTTTCAATATTTGGCTATCAACGGAAAATGAAATAAATGAAAAATGTTCATTCTAATCAAAGGAAAATTGACAAATTTTAGCAGAAAATGTTTTTCAAGATTTTTATTTGGAAGATATTTTTTAAATTATTTCCTCACACTCAGTGCTCTCTCTCTCTCTCTCTCTCTCTCTCTCTCTCTCTCTCCCCCTTTGAGTGGTGTCAAATCAGTGAGTTGATCCGTCATTTGTCTGGTTATTATTTAAATTGAATTGAATTAGTTTGATTAAAATATGGGTCTGATTGAGTTGGACCAAACAATAAAAATTCTTGGTTCGGCCTAACCCAAAGCCCAAAACAGTTAAAAAAAATTAGTTTTTTCTTCAATTTCTTTAGTTTAGACTTATTATATTTATCAATGACGGATTAAGATAGGGTCGTTATATCGTGCACCGCGGTGCATAATCGATTATGCACCGCGCGTCAGACACTACAGTGTGTCTAAATCGACACTGACTCACGTATTATTTTTATATTATCAAATGAAACTACAGTTATATCAAAATGATACTGTAGTTATGGTGAAATGAAACTACAGTATATATAAAATGAAAATGAATAACATTTCACATATTTGAGTGTATATTGTACAATGAAGCTGTAATTATATTCAAATGATCATGTAGTTGTGTTTTAATGAAACTATAGTGTATATAAAATAAAATTAAATAACACTTTCACATATTTGAGTGTATAAATATTGAATGAAACTGTAGTTATATCGAAATGAAACTGTAGTTATGTTGAACTGAAACTGCAGTGTATACAAAATGAAACTGAAGAATAGAGTTATTTTTTGCGAAGATTCTGTTTCTTTTCATTAAATAAAACGACGTCGTTTTGATAGTGTCGGTTTAGACACACTATAGTATCTGACGCACGGTGTATAATGGATTATGCACTGCGGTGCACGATATAATTTGCCATTATGATATAATTTGGCTTGGGCCAAACCAAACAACAAAATAAAAATCTTGATCCGACCCAACTGACATCCTTAAAAAAATTTAAAAATCTCATAAATTTCTTTAGTTCATAATTATTATATTTATCAATTTATGTATTCTTTTATATTATAATAAATAAATTACAAAATAAAACACATTTATTAATATCATTTTATTATTATTATTATTATTATTATTATTATTATTATTTATTATAAATTTTAATTTATAATTTTATTTTAGTATAAATAATAATTATTATTATCTTCATTAAAGTAACTAAAATTTTATTAAAAATAACTTTGTAATACATTTATGTTCATATTTTTTAAAATTGAACCAAACAAAAAAAAATACATTTTTTTAATTTTAAGCCAAACAGAAAAAGAATAATATTTTCTAACTTTCAACCAATTACACCATAAAATATTTTTTTAGAAAATGATTCACTTTCCTAAAGTTATTTTACATAAAACATTATTCGTGTTTTCAAAGGACTCTTAATTAAAGGATCAAATTGCACTACAATTAGATGGCGAATTCGATACCTTTTCAAAGAAAGAAAAAAAAAAAAAAAAAAAAAAAAGTCATGATCATTAGTATTGTAATAAGCTAGTCATGAGTAATACAAACGAAGTAAAAGTATGACCAAACATATATTGTGTACTTGTGAGAGGTAGTATTAATTATTTGAATTGAATAATCCAGAAATTAAGAAACATAAACATATATAGTGTACTTGTTACAGGTACGGTGCTATTAATTATTTGAATTGAATAATCCAGAAATTAAGAACCATAATACTATTTAGTATTTATGCAGGTTTTAGATATACACATGTCATGAACCCTTAGCCACCAACACTTAGCCCCCGCCAACGCTCCCTCGATCCAGACATCGCACGAAGATTAATTGTGAGAAGAATGTGGTTTAAAAAATATATCATTGGCGGATTGTGTTAGTGAATTTGACTAGTTAATAACATTAGTTATTGTAAAAAAGTGTTTGGTAAATTAGTTGTTAGATGATAATTGATCACATGAAAAATGACTTTCTTATAAAGTTGATCAAAAAAGCTGTTTTGAGCAGCTTTTTGAATTTTAGCATTTTGAAAACAATAAGCTGTTGCAAAAATCTAATTAATCAAACATTCATATTGATTATTTAACAAAGTCAAATCAAACAATTAATAGTGATCAAATAAGTTAAAATTGACTGATAAGCTAACTATGTTATGAAACAGGGCCTGTGTTGAATTATTATATTACAATTATTTTATATAATCCAAAGAATTATAGTTAGAGATGTCATGTTATTATAAATAATTATACTAATAGATTTTAATGATGCATGTAAAGTATATTAAACATTTAGAAACGTCCACCCTCCCAAAGAAAGCCTTATATATATATATATATATATATATATATATATATATATATATATATATATATATATATATATATTGGTTCCTGTGCGAACATGTCTTCCCGTGCGGTCAGTATGGCATACACCATTAGGTATGCATAAATGCACCATACATTGTTCGAGAATACACCAGAATGAAATGTCAAAAAATGCACCACAAAAAAAATACACCACACATAATGATGTATTTTCAAACACTGTGTGATGCATTTATGCATACCTAATGGTGTATGCCGCACTGACCGCACGGGAAGACCTGTTCTCACAGGAACCTGACCCTATATATATATATATATATATATATATATATATATGTGTGTGTGTGTGTGTGTGTGTGTGTGTGTGTGTGTGTGTGTGTGGGGGGGGGGGGGGGGGGGGGGGGGGGGGGGGACGGAGCCAGAAATTCGGTTGAGAGGGGGCGAAACAGTACAGACGGATTCAGAAAATTTTTCCAGTAAAGGCGAAATATTTAAACAAAAGAGATAATTTAAAAATAAATAAATTGCTCCTTTCAAAATAAATAAATTACCTAAGAAATACAGTTGTAAATATTGTTGGACAAAAATAAAACACATCGAAACTTTATAAAAATATTCATAACAAAATATGAAACATAATTAATAAAATAATTTGAATAGAAAACACATTATAAATTACACATCTTATTATTAATATAAAAGAATGTTATATATATATATATATATATATATATATATATGTGTGTGTGTGTGTGTGTGTGTGTGTGTGTGTGTGTGTGTGTGTGTGTGTGTGTGTGTGTGTGCGCGCGCGCGCGTGAAATATTAAAGTGTGTGTGAAATATTAAAAAAGTTACGGAATATTAAAAAAAGAATTGTAAAATCATATTCATGCTAAGATTGGAACCCTTGGCCTCATCATTATTACAAAATATGTGCTCCACCACCTAATCTAACTCACTCTTATAAACATTTTATAGTTTTTTTTATACTAATACTAAAACATGTACTATATATACATATATACATACAAAGACTATATATGGGGTGGGGTGTGGGGTGGGGTGAGGGGGGCAGCCGCCCCCTGCCCCCCCTTTGGCTCCGTCCCTATATATATATATATATATATATATATATATATATATATATATATATATATATATATATATAGGCTTTGGTTCCCATGAGGTACCTAATTAAAATGGGATAATGAGATCCCATCATCACCCTTCACCCATTTAAATTTAATGGCTAAGATTAAAAGATATTGAGCAACTAATTATGACCAAATATTGATCATAGGGATATTCACGTAAAAGTGTTGCTGTATTTAATTTTGGGAAGAATATTAATATATTATTATGCACAAGAATATGCTGCTTAAGATTGG